CGGGAGTGGCCACTGCACTCCAGTCTGGGTGACAGAGTGAGACTCCGACTCAAAACAAAATAAAACAGAATCAGGGGCAACCCCTTCGGGTCCCCTCCCACTGTGGGAGCTTTTCTGTCTTCTCAATAAATTCTGCTTTCTCAAAAATAAAATAAAATAAATAAAAAAGAATCGGGCAACCCCCCAGGTCCCCTCCCAATCTGGAAGCTTTTCTGTCTTTTCAATAAATTCTGCTTTCTTTAAAATAAATAAATAAATAAGCTGGGCTCGGTGGCTCAGCCTGTAATCCCACGCTTTGGGAGGCGGAGGTGAGTGGACTGCCTGAGCCCACGGGTTCGAGACCCGCCTGGGGCAATGTGGCGAGACCTCATCTCTACAATAAATCAAAAAATCAGACCAGCCTCCCACGTGCCCCGCTGTCTCTTCGCTCTCGCCTGGAACTGCTGCTTGCCAGGGCTCGACATGGACCCCAACTGCTCCTGTGCCGCTGGTGACTCCTGCACCTGTGCTGGCTCCTGCAAGTGCAAAGAGTGCAAATGCAAGTCCTGCAAGAAAAGCTGCTGCCCTGTGGGCTGTGCCAAGTGTGCCCAGGGCTGCGTCTGCAAAGAGACATCGGACAAGTGCAGCTGCTGCGCCTGAGGTCAGGAGACCCTGATCCCAGATGGAGGTGGAGCCACGCGTATAAACCTAGATATTTTTCTCATACATTCCTGACCCTTTGCTACATTAAAAAAAAAAATGAAACTAATGATAATAAAAGTTACTGAATTAAAAAAAAAAAAAATCAGCCAGGCATGGCAGCACGTGCCTGTAATTCCAGCCTCTTGGAAGGCTGAGGTGGAAGGATCACCAGAGCCCAGTGGGTCAAGGCTGCGGAGCGGCCACTGCACTCCAGTCTAGATGACAGAATGAGACTCCAACTCAAAAAAAAAAATAAGTAACCAATTTATCACTGAATAAGAAGGCCAATATTCTTATCTATTTTCATGTAGATTAGAAAAAACTACAATCCCAAATGTGACTTTTGGGGGAGGGAAAAAAGTCAAAGCATCTAAAAATATAATTAGTGTCTCCTACTACCTCAAACTTCAGATAAGAAATGGTTATTTCTGGACGGGGGCAGTGGCTCACGCCTGTAATCCCAGCACTTTGGGAGGCAAAGGCAAGAGGACTGCCTGAGTCCATGAGTTTGAAGCCAGTCTTGGCAACTTGAAGAGACTTCGCCGCTACAATAAATTAAAAAAAAAAAAAAAGCCGGGATCGGTGGCTCAGCCTGTAATCCCGTGCCTTTGGGAGGCTGAGGTGAGTGGACTGCCTGAGCCCGCGGGTTCAAGACCTGCCTGGGCAACTTGGTGAGACCTCATCTCTACAATAAATCAAAAAATCAGCCGGGCGTGGTAGCGCATGCCTGTAATTTCAGCTACTCGGAAGGCTGAGGTGGAAGGATTGCCGGAGCCCAGCAGGTCAAGGCTGGGGTGGCCGGGAGCAGCCACTGCACTCTAGTCTGGGCGACAGAGTGAGACTCCAACTCAAAAAAAAAAGATCAAGGCCAGGAGTGGTGGCTCACACCTATAATACAAGCACTTTGGGAGGCCAAGGTAAGAGGACTGCCTTAGCCCACAGGCTCGAGACCAGCCTGGGCAAACTGGCGAGACCTCATCTCTACAATAAATCAAAAAAAAAATTAGCTGAGTGTGGTGGCGCCTGCCTGTAGTGCCAGCTACTTGGAAGGCTGTGGTGGAAGATCACCTGAGCCCAGCAGGTTAAGGCTGCATGGCTGAGTGTGCCACTACACTCCAGCCTCAGTGACAGACTAAGACTCCAACTCAAAAAAAAAAATCAAAAAATTAGCCAGGCATGGTGGCGCGAGCCTGTAGTTCCAGCTACTTGGAAGTCTGAGGAGAAAGGGATTGGCTAAGCCCAGCAGGTCAAGGCTGTGGTGGCCGTGGGCATGTCACTGCGCTCCACTTAGGCAGTTAGGATGACAGAGTGAGACTCCAACCCCCCCCCCAAAAAAAGGAAATGGTCGTTACAGAAAGTACTACAGCATAATGTCAAAGAAAGCCAAGCTCCTGCCCATGCCTAACAAATGCCAAATACAGGCTTCATTGAACTGTAGACCTCAAATGAAAAGGTTTCTAACCTAATTTATCTTTTCATTCATTCAACAAATATTTACTAAGCAACTACTAAGGGCAAGGCACTAAGTGCCAACCATATTCCAGGACACATTGTAATGAACAGACCTGACAAAGCCCTTGCCCCACTGCTATGGTCCTCAACGGGGGAAAATACAGAACTGAAGAGGGTGCTACACAAACTTGGGGGGCCAGGGGAAGTGTTTTTGGCTGTCTGCTTCATTACATCTTCTAGGGGAGCCCTGAATATTTACACAAAGGAGAAGTTTTAAAAAATTATTATAAACAAGGGATTAAGTCAAAACTTTGAAAACCACCGATTCAGCGGAGTTTACACTCCAAAGGTACAAAAAAAACAAGTAAATGAAAAATTTCCAAAGGTGGTAAACACTACAAAGAAAATAAAGGTGATATATAAATGTTTTTATATATAAGTAGGGTGCTCTCAAACAAATGGGGTTCTCAAGGAAGGCTTCACGGGACCACAAGTGCACAACTACAAGTGCACTCACACCATACTTAATCAAAAGTATAGCGAAGCAAAAACGTCATTTTTTAATAGTAGTTCCCATCAATACTAGAACTCATGATAGTAACCTGCGGTGAGAAACTGACAAATACAACCATCCACAATCCTTCAGCAAGTCCACAACAGGTAGCAAAATCCTGGTCCCCTCAAGACTTCGCGAACTAGGCTCTAAACAAAACTAAAGCTGCTCTGACCACGCTAGTGATCACTGTTCACACACCTGAGGCAGCTAACAAAAGAGAGGGGCTCACACCCTCCGGGGTGCTGAGCGTGTCCCGCTCCTGCACTCCAGGGTGAGCAGAAGCCTCCGCCCGGAGAGCGTGGACTCAGGACCCAGGCCCGGGACCCCAGGCAGGCCCCGGGCGCGCGGGCGCCCAGAACGGACGGCGGGGGCGTGGCGGGCCCGGCGCCTGCCTTTGTTGTCCCTCGTGGCGCTGGGGGAGGGGTGGCCCGAGGCCTGCGAGGCCATCAGCCGCCTCCGGCCCCCGTCGCGTGGGTCCCTGACCCCCAAGGGCGCGCGAACCTACCTTCTTGTAGTGCTTGCCCAGCCAGACCCGCACGGAATCCAGCTGGGACACTGTCTCCGGGCTCTCCCAAAACTTGCTGGACGGGCCCCCGTCCTTCCGCCGATAAACGGCCAG